CAGAAGTCCACGTGGAGCCTCACAAGAAGCAGCTGCACGTCACTCTGGCCTACAACTTCCCCAGCGACCACCTGCCCTCGCTGGAGAAACTGGCTAAGGGCATTGAAGTGAAGCTGGGATGTGATTGGCTGGCTGTTCTGTTCTCCCGGGACATTCGCTTTGCTAACCACGAGGTAGCTGATATTAGACTAACCCGCACGCTCCACAGCTGCAGCTATCGAGTAGTGACGTCTGTATGTTCTGCTTGTCTGTGATTGGCCGATGCAGACCCTGAGGGTGATGTACCCCTACGTGCCGCAGAACGACGACGAGCTGGAGCTGGTTCCCGGGGATTTCGTCTTCATGTCTCCCGTGGATCAGAACAGCACCAGCGAGGGCTGGGTGTACGGGACCTCGCTCGCCACCGGGCTGTCCGGCCTGCTGCCTGAGAACTACGTGAGCCTGGCGGACGAATCGGACACCTGGGTGTTTCATGCGTAAGTGTAGCACACGGGGAAGGCTGCTGAAATGTTCATGAGCGTGCACGTTCACTGATGAATGCACAGTGCGTCTGCAGCGAGCCCAAACAAAGAATCTGTGCGTAACCACGGCGGGCCGTCCACACGCTCACGCTTTTCAGCGTCTTACACACTTTATTGGCCACACACGGTTGCTTGACATCCACGATGATTGCAGATGCCGCCCAGGTGCATCCATCTCACCTGCAGCGGCATCACAGGCCACGCCCCCCCTCACTGTGCCTTACTTCTCAGGAAAGAAACGATCAGTATATTTAAAGGTTCACACTCTCAGCTCAGCTCCACTTTATTCTCATAGCAGCAGATTGACAGTGTTTTTCCACCACAGCTCCCACTCCTTCTTCAGCTGTGAGGCCAGTGACAAGGCCAGTAAAGACAGAGGCCTGTTCGATGGACTGCTGGACAGCCGCCGCCCCGACAGCACAAGTCCCGGGGACACGCCGTCCCTTAGTCTCATCTGTCATCCGATGCAGGTACTCGACCCGTGAACTGCGCACTGAGTGTTGCTGCTGTCTGTCCAAATGTTGAAGCGTCCTGTTACTGTTCAGCAGGTCCTGCGCATCAGCGGGGGTCACTCGCGCCAACCCAAGCGCACTCTTTTCGTGTGCCGCCACGGTGAGAGGATGGATGTGGTCTTTGGCAAACACTGGCTGTCCCTCTGCTCAGATAGTAAAGGTGAGCACGTCCACACAGCTTCATTACTGTGTTTGTGCGTCTCACGGTGAGGTTCATGCAGCCGTGCTTTTCTTCCCTCTGCAGGTCGATACGTCCGCTCCAACCTGAACATGCCTCCCAGCCTGCCTCTGTGGGGGGCACAGAGAGACTATGACATGGACGCTCCCATTACTGTGTTTGGATCCACCCAGGCCCGGCTCGTGGGTACGTGACTGGTGCAGATGTGAATAAAACCCCTGCAGCTGATGACCGGCTGACGTTTCTGCACGTGTGCTTCTTCTCAGGTGAAGCCCTGTTAGAGAGCAACACCACCATAGACTTTGTGTACTGCTCTCCCGCTCTGCGCTGCGTTCAGACTGCACAGAACATCCTGAAAGGTAAAAGCGGGTCCGGCCTGTGCGCCAGCGCTCGCGCCGACACATCGAGTGTGTTTCTTTTTTTATCTGTGACATTTGGTTTGTGCGAACAGGTTTACAGCAGGACAGCAAGCTGAAGGTGCGAGTGGAGCCGGGGCTTTTCGAATGGACCAAGTGGGTGTGTGGGAGCTCGATGCCTGCATGGATACCTCCCACCGACCTGGCTGCTGCACACTTCAGTGTTGACACAACTTACAGGTGATGACGGCCGAGCTTGTGTGGGGACTGTGGATGCTGACTGTGCTGTGTTTGCATGTTTCACGCCTCTAATACGGAGAGAAACTAAGACGTAGCTACACAACTGTAAATATAAATCCACACAGAAAGCGATGGTATGAATGCTGGTCGTGTGACGATGGGACGGTTGGTGGTTCGATCCCTGCAGTCTGCATCCCTCTAATATACAAATATACTAACGCCAAGTGTGAATGTTGTATGAAGCGAGAGAGAATCAGTCCATTTACCATGAGCTTTACTCACAGTAGAGAAAATACATCAGATGTTAAAAAAGAGAAAGGACCAATATTAGCTCATGTTTTATTTCATGGCAGCACACGTCGCTGTGTCGTTGCACGATCTCCTTCATCCCATCAGAGGTGGAGACTTTTGAACCACGTGACAACAAGCCAGACAGTCCCGCTGCTCTTTAGTCCACAGGACGTTACAAATGTTTGATTTGTCTGATCACAGAGCCGTTTTCCATCTTCCCTCGGTCCATGCTGAATGAGCTCGGGTCCAGAGATGATGTGTGCAGCTTTAACCTGCCCGCGTGGCACAACAGGAAGTGTTCTTGAACCCGTGCAGTCGTGACTGTTTGCATCAGTGATACTCAGCCCTGTGCACAGACGCTGCTCCAGATTCTCTGAATCTTTTTGTAGATGATTCATAGTTACAGTGGATGCAAAAGTATTCGGCCCCCTTGAACTTTCCCACATTTTTCACATGACAGCCACAAACATGAACCTGCAACATGCACCTGTGTGTGATCTAATGTCAGTACAAATACAGCTGCTCTGTGACGCCTCAGAGGTTGTCTGAGAGAATATTGGAGCAACAACACCATGAAGTCCAAAGAACAGAGCAGACAGGTCAGGGATAAAGTTACTGAGACATTTAAAGCAGGCTTAGGCTACACAAAGATTTCCCAAGCCTTGAACATCCCACGGAGCACTGTTCAAGCCATCATTCAGAAATGGAAGGAGTTTGGCACAACTGCAAAGCTACGAGGCCGTTTAGGATGAAATGAGCAAATATATATAAAATATATATATATATAAATATCTTTTAGGATAAAATGAGCTAATATTTTCCATAAAATAGAAAATGTCTTAGTGTGAGCATTTGACTTCTGTTGTGATTAAAATCCTGTACAGGATTACGAGGTTTGCTAATCGTTGCATTCTGCTTTTACGGATTTTACACTGAGTCCCAACTTTTGGGGGGTTGAAGCAGCAGCAGGAACGCTGGCGTGTTGTTGTCTGCCTGCAGAGATCCTCCTGATGGACTGAAGGATCCAGAGCGAGTCCACCTCCCAAACTGCAGCCCACGCCCACTCAAAGGCACAAAGAAGACACTTACCACTGCCTAACATGTGTCACTAATTATTTATCTCGATGCAGACCTCTGATCCCCGTCAGCAAGCTCACTGTGTCCGAGTCCTACGAGAACTACATGAGTCGCAGCTATCAAGTAACCAAAGACATCCTGTCGGACTGCAAAAACAGTGGTAAGACACACAGCAGAGCTGCTGCAGATGTTTAAAGATCAGCATGTTCATGTCTTTGTCCCGCCTGGGTTTCCTCTCTCCGTAGGAAACAACGTGCTGATTGTAGCCCACGCTTCTTCCTTAGAGGCCTGCACGCGCCAGCTGCAGGGCCGCAGCCCACAGAGCGCCAAGGACTTCATCCAAGTCGTCCGAAAGGTCCGCGCACACACCTCTTTTCATCTGTTTTCTTTTCTTTGTTACATTCTGCCGATCCATCCCTGCTTCCTGCCTCCTCTCCTCCAGCCTGTTTATCAAACACAGCGGTGCGTTCACTGTACAGCGGTGCGTTCACTGTACAGCGGTGCGTTCACTGTACAGCGGTGCGTTCACTGTACAGAGGAAAACAGTCAAAGCTGTATTTCTGTGACGGGTTTTGGAGGATCAGACGATAACAAACTGTGAACATTTCTGAAATCATGTGATGAACAAACCCTGCTGTCCAACACAGTTTCAGTTTAAATGAGAAACATGTGCATCTATGATCACAAGCATTTAGTTGTTTTTAGTGGCCAGCTCGCTCGTCCTCAGCTCGCTCGTCCTCAGCTCGCTCGTCCTCAGCTCGCTCGTCCTCAGCTCGCTCGTCCTCAGCTCGCTCGTTCTCAGCTCGCTCGTCCTCAGCACGCTGACCCGACTTGAAAAGCGACTGGAAGCTCTCGTGCAGCTTCTACCGTCATGTTCGTGGTTCCTACCAGACTAAACTTCCTCTTTAGATAACGTTTGTTCTCTGCTGGCTCATTAGGGGGAAATGAGTCGATGTCTCACTGAGGCTTTAGTGTTTATCCAGGGTGTTAATGTGAAACAGCCAAACATGCTGCGGAAGACGGGAAGTGCCCAAATGACAACAGATGAAGTCAAAAAGTGAAGCGTGTGTTTCCCTCTGGTTTTACTTTGGTTTCTCTTTTCAGTTAAACGGAACAAAAACGCAGTTTTATGTGTTTTTAGCAACAGTAAACGCAGCTTTGTGCCATCACAGCACAGACTCCACGTTCATGTTCACTGAGGGTCATTAACGCCTCACACTGACTGTGCTGCCCTCTGCTGGATGACTGAAGTATAAAACAGCTGATGATGTCAAACAATAGGAAATAAATCAGTTTGCACTAAAGTGGAAAATTAAAAGGATCAAAAATATTATTTGATTTATAAATAATTAATGAAACAGTGACGTGTGTTTTTGTTAAATACAAAGATTATTATCCTTGATTTTCCACGTGCCGTGCTCTGTTAGTGCGTACACGTGTAAAACAGAGTCTTAATAATATCTGTGAGGTCGTGGCGTCCTTCCTGTTGGAGCTCACATGAGCAGCGCTACGTTTAGAAACGAGGGAAAATCCAGGAAACGAAAATGTTACATGTTTTTGTGTCGGAGCGCCGTCGTCTTTAATCTGCTCTCCGAGTCACGTTTCCTTCGCTCTGCTCTCTCCTCAGATCCCTTACCTGGGCTTCTGCTCCTGCGAGGAGCAGGGGGACACGGGGGTGTGGCAGTTAGTGGACCCGCCCATCCTCCCCCTCACACATGGGCCGAACCACAGCTTTGACTGGAGGGAGACGCTCCTGCAAGAGTGACCGAGCAGACCCTCCTAACCTGATGATGCACACGCTCGGACTGCAGCGGCACCGCCCCCTACCCCACCGCCCCCCCACCCCACCCCTTCCTCCAAATACTGGGACTTTCAGCCTGTCAGCAGAGAGCGCCTCGCAGCGTGCTGAGTGTTCGCTCAACATTCAGCACGCTCAGGTATCACCCCGTCTCAGGAAACGCATCAGGATCAACAGGCGGCGGTTCTCTCGCCATGTTAAAAATGACGTTTGATTGATTTGATCTGTTGAGTTGTGACGTTGGCGCGCAGCAGCATTCGGCTATAGGTGTAAATGTTTTTGCTCAAAGTGTGAACTCACAATCAGTTTTAAACCGATGTTTCTGTAGTTTACATTTGGACAGGACTAAAGTTACAGCAGACGGACCACAGGCTCCTCCGTTTACGTCCAAAGATTCACCTTTGAACGGGCGAAGGCGTCAGACGCTGTTTTATTCTAACGTTACAATAAACATCGTTTGTACGCTTTAAACACATGTAAACATGAAGGAACACTTTGTGTTCTGCAGAGGAGTTTCTCAAAGTTTCATGAGGCTGCGTTTGTAACCACGGAGCTCCGACCACAACAACAGCGTCGTATTATTGCAGGTTTCATGGCGTCCCGTGTCCTGCCGCGTCACCAGCTGAGGGAGAACGTTTACGCCACAGCTCGTAGTCTTCGTCACACCCTCCCGATGCCCCCGTGCAATGCACCCCCCCACTGTCATCTCCACATGTAGCACTGAGGACAGCAGCGTCTCTGCAGCAGCGTCTCGACCTGCAGTACCGACAATCACAGAGTAGCTTCCTGATCCTGGTCCAGCAGCGGTTTGTTGCGACGCGCTCAGCGATCAGAAACGTCTTCCACTTTTCTTTGTGTTTATTTATAAGCCTCTATTGTTACAAGCAACAGTAATAAACAGGAATCATTTCTAACAGCATGCAAGAACTTATCTCCGTATCTCAGGTGTTGACTGCGTTTAAGACGCACACAGTGTGTGTTTGAAAACTGTTCCACTGATTGACTGTGATGTTGCCCCTGTCTGAGATTAGACTGATGTTCACACATCTGCTCAACTATCCCGCTGAGTTTGGGGGATCCTCATGCTGCCGATGCAAACTGAGTTCCCACTGCAACGCTGGCGTCTTCATGCGTACTAGCAAAGTAGTCTGCAGAGCAGCTTCCATTGCTAACATGAGAGTTCACATATAGCATCGTGGTGTTCGTCACCGACGCCACAGGAAGAGCTCGACAGTTTGAGAAAAGGCTGCTCATCATTTTAAAGGGTCACTGTGTAGAAACGTGTGTGGAGAGTTCAGCCTGGACTCAACCAACGTTTAGAAGAACTGCTCCTCTAAAGAAGCCGTTTGGCACAGCTGGGAAGTGTAGTCCATCTGCAGGCTGCCATGTCTGCTACAGACAGCAGAGCTCCACTCGGTCACATCACAGATAAAAGCAGCTGAAACCAGGACGGTGGATTCAAGACTAATAACAGCGTTTGGTGATTTAATAACCTGTTATAAGCTCGACTGGTTCTAAACTGTTTGTTCTGTGAGCTGTATCACTTTCAGATTTATAAACCGGGATGATCCCTTACTGACAACGTTTCTGTCAAA